ATTGATTGCTGTGCTGATTGGCGATCTGTATTTTTTTTCATATTTTATAATCGATCCTTCTGTGGGCCTGTATGCATGTGAGATGATGATATGCGAATGTTTGTGAATAGATTGATCTTGATTCATATGTCTTATTATTAGTGTAGTAGGGCTTGTCCTGTAACCATGATTTGTCAGCATGATATTAGGATCTTCTATTTATTGGTCCATGCTTGCTCATGGCTTTATTTTTGTGTACTATTAAATTTTGGTATTTGCTTGAAGCCTTCAGGCCATTTGCAGCGTCGTTTTCTCGGTGTCGGCATTAAATGCTTAAACGGTTGGAATTCTTGTTTTAATTCCGTGCTATGCAAGTAAGGAAATTTGGGTTCGGACCGTTATGGAAAAAGAACTGGATGCTTCCGTTTTAATTTTTGGGCTACATATGCCTACACTATAGCTGAACCGACGAGAACTGCCATCTAGACTTTACATAAATCTTATTTATTAATTATCTAGAGAACTCCCTTAACGATCTTGTGTTCGTGTTCCTGTACTTCCTAATTTGTTACCTTAGTTATAGATACACTTGATATGTCACGGCATCGGTACCCCCGCATAGTTGGCACCTAGCAGTCCACGTGGACGGGTTGCACTGTTCACTTCTTTACTGAACCGAGAGATGCCACTATCGTGCTCAACCACTCTCCATGCATGGCTTGGTAGGATTAGCAGTCCACGTGGACGGGTTGCACCGTTCCCTTGTTTACTGAACCTAGAGATGCCACTATCGTGCTTGACCACTCTCCATGCATGGCTTGGTAGGATTGTTCCAAATATTTTTTAATATTTATTTCTTATTTCCTACCTTACAAGGTATTACTTGTTATTTTGTTTCCAGTGCCTAACCATCTAATAGGTAGGTGCCTAGGAGTCCTGATGCATTGCAACTAGGATTTATGACTTTGTATGCATGGTGACCAAGGTGAAACTCATACGTATTGGCAATAGAAAGCCCACAACAGAGCTGGATGTCATTTACTTTACGTAACAGATCCAGATATCTGCCACACTCCAAACCATAAAGAACAGAATCAGATCTTGGTGATCAAGAACGAACTTTTCAGTCGACATTGAAGCATAAATTGATGTTTGTTCCAACACTAAAGGGCGTACCCAGTGCAGAGAGCTCCCGCTCTGTGCGGGGTCTGGGGAAGGGTGTCAGTGGCAAGCCTTACCCTCGCCTGTGCAATGCGAGGAGACCGCGACTCGAACCCGGGACCTTCCGGTCACAGGCGGTAAGACTCTACCGCTTGCACCAAGCCCGCCCTTCATGTTTGTTCCAACACTGAAGTTAGTAATCTCTTTCAGTTTAGGATGTAAGCTTTTGAATGCCTCCTCTAAGTTGGCATGCTAAGCAACATGAAGTTCGATGGAATTAAAAGAAACCATCAAACTTGTTCTGACTAATGTGATAGTATAGCAGGATGTGCATACGTATGAAGACTTTTTAGCTCGTGAGGACTTGTGGAGGTCTATCATGAGCTAATTTCTCAGCATCAGATGCAGGCAGCTATGGATGTTCTTAGTAAACCTGAAAACACAAGAGGAACTTGTTTAGTTAAATTTTTGCAACTGCTTGCTTCTGTTTAGTTTGGAATTCTCAGACCTTCTGTCTTCAACCATTCTTTCTTCTTTTGGCAAATAGTTGTAAGCTCTGGTACTGTACTATTTATCTATAATTTGTTTTACCATTATTTATAGTGAACTACTTTTTAGCATGTTGCAGCCTTTAAACTTTCCAAATTGTATGTGAATACATCAGTGATGCAATAGATAAGTATGTTCATACATCAAGATTAACTCAGTCGTACTTCATATATCACTTCCCATGATTGATCCTTGTTCTCTGTTATTTTGTGTCTTTGTTGCTTTATCAAACTCAAAGTTAGACAATTAAATAAACAGTATTATTCTTCTGTAAGTTTGCTGTCTAAAAGAAGTGTTTTTCCTGTCTATTTGGTCTGTAGAAACTTATTTTCTTCAGGCTATTATTACTGTTATGTTAAAAAGAATAGTTGCCGCAGCATACAGGAAGCAGATGCTTTTTCTATAAACCTTGCACCAGTTCTTAATACTGAAAACATAACATAACTGTATGAAAGAAACAAGGACTGCCCCAGGCCTGCTCAGTCCTCTCCCAAAAAAATATATTGGTGTGTGTGTGTTTAAAATTTGTGTGTGTTTAACATAACTATGTGTGTGTGTGTGTGTGTGTGTGTGTGTGTTTAAAATGTCCTTGAATATATTGGTGAATATAATATTTTTCTTATATTATGGCAGGACTGCTTATAACATGGTACTGAACAAGTTTGCTCCTCAGCTCTATGAGAAACTCACAGAAAACATGAAAGAACATCTTGAAGATATGCGCACATGTATAGACGCTGCTCAAGGTGGTTTGTTCCTGGAAGAGTTGCAGCGAAAATGGAATGACCACAACAAGGCATTGACAATGATTAGAGACATCCTGATGTATATGGACAGGACTTATATTCCCACTAACAAAAAGACACCTGTCTTTGATCATGGATTAGAGCTTTGGAGGGATACCATAGTCCGGTCTCCCACGATTCAGAGTAGGTTGTCTGACATGCTACTCGAGCTCATACATAGTGAAAGGACAGGTGAAGTGATTAATAGAGGCTTGATGAGGACTACAACAAAAATGTTGATGGATCTAGGGTTGTCTGTTTATCAGGATGATTTTGAAAGGCCATTTCTTGAGGTTTCTGCTAGTTTCTATAGTGGTGAGTCACAACAATTCATTGAGTGCTGTGCTTGTGGTGAGTATCTGAAGCAGGCTGAGAGGCGCCTCTCTGAAGAATCAGAGCGTGTGTCACAGTACTTGGATGTCAAAACCCATGAGAAAATTACTACTGTTGTGGTGAATGAGATGCTAGCAAATCACATGCAGAGGTTGATTCTTATGGAGAACTCGGGGCTTGTGAATATGCTTGTTGAAGACAGGTATGAAGACCTGACCAGGATGTACACTTTGTTTAATCATGTTCCTGATGGTCTCACAACAATTAGATCTGTGATGGCATCTCATATTAAGGATACCGGCAAAAGTTTGGTAACAGATCCTGAGAGATTAAAGGACCCAGTTGATTTTGTTCAGCGGCTTCTTAACATGAAGGATAAGTATGACAATATCATCAATGTGTCATTTAGCAATGACAAGAGTTTCCTGAATGCTCTTAATTCCTCATTTGAGCACTTCATAAACTTAAACAACAGATCCCCTGAGTTCATATCACTGTTTGTTGATGACAAACTGCGGAAGGGGGTGAAAGAGGCCAATGAGGAGGATCTTGAAACTGTCCTGGACAAGGTGATGATGCTGTTTAGGTATTTGCAAGAAAAAGATCTATTTGAGAAATATTACAAGCAACACTTAGCAAAGCGTCTTATTTCTGGGAGGGCTGCTTCTGATGATTCTGAGAGAAGCATGCTTGTGAAGCTGAAGACAGAATGTGGCTACCAGTTTACTTCGAAGTTGGAGGGCATGTTCACTGATTTGAAGACCTCTGAGGATACTACTCAAGGGTTTTATGCATCTACTTCCTCGGAGCTGCTGGCAGATGCCCCCACAATATCTGTCCAGATACTCACCACTGGGTCATGGCCAACACAAACCTGCAATACCTGCAACCTTCCCCCTGAAATTGTCTCTGTCTCAGAGAAGTTTCGGGCTTATTACCTTGGCACACATAATGGCAGGAGGCTAACATGGCAAACAAACATGGGGCATGCTGACATCAAAGCAACATTTGGAAATGGCAGCAAGCATGAATTGAACGTCTCAACATACCAGATGTGTGTTCTGATGCTGTTTAACTCATCAGATGTCTTGACTTACCGTGAAATTGCGCAGTCTACAGCAATACCAGCTGCTGACCTGAAGCGATGCCTCCAGTCGCTAGCTCTTGTGAAAGGTAAGCAAGTCCTGCGAAAAGAGCCCATGAGCCGGGACATTGCCGATGATGACAGCTTCTTCGTGAACGACAAGTTCACCAGCAAGCTCTTCAAGGTGAAGATTGGCACTGTGGCGGCGCAGAAGGAGACCGACCCTGAGAAGCTAGAGACACGGCAGCGGGTCGAGGAGGATAGGAAGCCGCAGATCGAGGCGGCCATTGTGCGGATCATGAAGTCGAGGAGGGTTCTAGACCACAACAGCATAATGATGGAGGTGACGAAGCAGTTGCAGCCCCGTTTCATGCCAAACCCCGTGGTGATCAAGAAGCGGATCGAGTCGCTCATCGAGCGCGAGTTCCTGGAGCGGGACAAGACGGACAGGAAGATGTACCGCTATCTCGCCTAAAAACAACCTCCCCTGTCTTTGGAAATTTAATTTCATTATATGCTACCCGAATCATATAAACAGACCTTGATCCATGTACTTATGCATAGAAGGAAATGGGTCTCTCTGCATCCCGTGATACTTTTAGTTGAAACCGGTTTTTGCTGGGTTTGTCCAGTTAGTTGCTAGCTTAGCTTCTATAACATCTTGCACTGGGTTACATGTTAATGCTATAGATTGATCTTGCTGGCTGCGATTCAATGCTCTCTTTTGGTTGCTGATTCAGAAAGGCGATCTGATCGCTGTCAAGGTTGACCTTTTGTGGCTTGATGGACAATTGGATGTCACTGAAATGATGCTCGGATGATATTCTACTAAATTGCTTTATCCAGTTTGCAATGCTATGAGGTGCGCGTGGCTTCCAGAATGTGCTGCATGTCACATACATGGACATACGGTGGCATCCCTAAGACATATTTTGGTTTGGTTTGTCCTGGATTGTGATTTATGACCAAAGTTGATGATGCATCAGCATAAAGACTTATCTGATCCATGATTTGTCAAAATTTGAGTAGAGATTGTGCTCGGGTAATTGGGGATCTAGGGTTTGAGGTAATGGTTTCAAATTTCTGTTGGGGTGCCAGGTGAGGTGGACATGGGCGCCGTAGGTTGCGAAGGTGCTCCCTCTCCGAAGCTGGCGACGCGTGCAAACTTCGATGTACAGATCAGGACATTCTTTTGTTAGCTTATATGGAGGCAGATCCGTTTTGTGATGATGAAGTTTGTGTGATTAATTTGTGTTCATTTGATGCTAATATATGTTGTAGGCAGCTCAGGTATGCACAAATGGTGCAGAAGAAGCAGTGCATGCACAGATGTTGCCATCGCTTTCAGTCTCTCCTGAACCATCGCGACACCACGCGTCCACGCCCGATCCAACCCAATCATGCAATGCTGCTCACGCTGTCAGGCCTGCACACACATATGGACACGATGGTGAGCTCCAAGAAAAGCGTTTGATCGTCTTCGGCGGGCGAGCCCAAGTGCGGCGGCGTGTGGCGCGAGCGATGGCGGGGCAGGGGCAGCAGCGCCTGAACGTGGTGCCGACGGTGACGACGCTGGGCATGGTGAAGGCGCGGCTGGCGGGCGCCACCCGCTGCTCAAGAAGAAGTCGGACGCGCTCACGGTGCAGTTCCGCGCCATCCTCAAGCGCATCGTGTCTCGCTCGCCGAGGCGCTCTACGTGGCGGGCGCGCCGCTCCGCCACGTCGTGCAGCAGTCCGTGTCCGGCCCCGCCAGGCTCGGCGTGCGCGCGCACCAGGACAACATCGCCGGCGTCCGCCTCCCGCGCTTCGAGAGCTTCCTGGTCAACGGCGCTGCCTCCGCCGGCGGCGGCTCGTCGTCAGCGTCGCTAGCGGGGCTGGCCGGCGGCGAGCAGCAGGTGGCGGCGTGCCACGCGGGGCACGCGCGCGCCCTGGAGGTGCTGGTGGAGCTGGCGTCGCTGCAGACGTCGTTCCTCACGTTGGACGCGGCCATCAGGACCACCAACCGGCGCGTGAACGCGCTGGAGAACGTGGTGAAGCCGCGCCTGGAGAACACCATCGCCTACATCAGGGGCGAGCTGGACGAGCACGAGCGGGAGTTCTTCCGCCTCAAGAAGATCCAGGGGTACAGGCAGCGGGAGCTCGAGCGCCAGAAGGAGGCCGCCACCCGCTACGCCGAGGAGAAGGCTGCCGGCGAGGTCGCGCTCAAGCGCGGCGTTTCCGTCGCCATTGCGGAGAGCATGCTGGAGAACGGCGACAGGGACGAGGATATCATCTTCTAATCCTCCTCCGTGTCTGTCGAGTCGTACGACAATAATAATAGAGCTTGCCGCTTGCTGTGGCTGTGGCAGCTAAACAGTAATCTTCTGTAGACACAGCACAATAAGCTCGTAGCTGCAGTCGGAGGCTATTTGTACATTCCATCTCTGCATTAATCCATGTACGTATCTACTCAGGGGGGCAGCAGCAGTATTGAACATTTTCACATGTGTGTGTTTTCTCAGTTATACATTTGTACTTGGGATAATATTTACTTGCAAATCACATAGCAAGCAGAATCACTCATGACTCATCTGCAGTTCTGCACTGCTGCCTGTGACGAATAAAAGGTTAAGAAGAATGTGAAGGGACAACAGTACTTTCTAGTCATGGCATGAGCTTATTTCATGAAAGCAAAATGGACATGCCAGCACAAGAGGAGGAAGAAAAAGAAGGAATTAAGAGAAAAGGAAGAAATAAAGAAACAACTGTTATGGTGGTCTTGCAACATGCCAAATCCACACTCATTGAGGATCATCTGTGGTCAGAATCCGCTCCTGTATTTCCGAAAATGTCTTCACATCCTCACCCCACAGCCTAAAAAAGTTACATCAGAGAAAATGATAAAGTAATCAGTGATCCACTCGCATTTTAACAAACCGAAGACCTAACATGGTCCGAATATGGAAACACAAAGGAAAAATACTCCACATACCAGCACTCAAGTCCTATAGCATTGGCACCCGCCTTGTCTGCAGTTTCATCATCTCCTACATGCACTGCCTTGCTGGCTTCCAGATCAATTTGATCTGACAAACAGAAAACAACAAACTTTATAAGTTCTACAGAAAAATTTCATGATCTTTCACAAATGAGACTCGATTTTATACCTAATGCTATCTTGAATATCTCTGGAGCAGGTTTCTCATATCCAACCTCTGATGATACCACGATGGCATCAAACCTGGAGAGCTCAAGGTCTGTTAACATATAGCCATTACTCACAAAAAATATGTATATGTAAAAAACATATCATACTGAAGTATGACTGAAGTAGTTAATTAGACAGGCCAATTTATAGGCACTTACATATCGGAGACATTAAGGTCCTTAAGTAATTTCCGTAGCCTTGTATCAAAGTTAGATACAACAGCTAGCTTAACTGAAATGGAGACACATTAATATCAGCCATTTGTACTGATGGAGTAAGGTAAGGGCCTGAATGTAGAAAGCTAGATATTAATTGCAGTAAACAACTGAGAATTGAAAATCAAGAAACCAAGAACAGAGGAAATGGCTGATATTGAAAATCAAGAAATCAAGAAACCTCCAGCATCCTTCAGCTCACGCAGTGTTGTGTCTGCTCCAATAGGCAAACGCCAAGCATCTCCATGTGCATAATACTGAAAGAAATAATAATCCATCCATTAGCCACATGGTATGGTTTTGAACATTCGACATACCATTAAATTGGAATGCTTCCTTCAACTTATAAAAACTAAATATGTATACTTGAGAGCGGTGAACTTGATCGCCTGGGCTTCTGTTCACTAACAGCATAGTCAGAACATAAGTTCTTGCTCAATTTCGTGATAGTAGTAACTATAGTAAGGTAATATAAAAGATAGCATGTAAGATCACGAGTTTCTTTAATCAGATACCAAACACTTGAATACATACTCAAATACTCCAATCAACCCTCATTCCAAAAAAGTATTCATCCGAACAACCTCAGCTACAAATTACACATTCCCAGAAGGCCAAAACATGAGGTACACTACCTGATACACTTCTTCGAAGTAATCAACATCAGTGCAATCGGTTGCTTCTGCCACGACAATTCTCCAGAATGGCCGCCCATCTCCCTGCAATTACAGTCCAAAACCCAACACGTCGTGACCTCGAGAGCAATCACGACACAATTTCAAGCCTTCCGAATGCACCATTAGGCATTACCTGGTACCTGAGTGTCTTCGGCCATGGAGCCGAGAATGCCCGCTTGAACCCCTCCATGATTCTCTTCTCAGGCTTTGTCACACCTGGAGAGCGACCAAAGTCAGGAACACCACGAGACCGACCACACGCCAAACGTTTGACGAAATGCAGAGCACGAGAGACATCGAAGGGGTGGAGAAAGTGCGAGGTGGTGGATTGTTGGGGTTGGAGGCGTACGGACCGTAGCGTCGGCCGATGGAGGCGTACGTCTCGGCGACCGGCCGCGCGACCTGCAGCAGCGTGCCGCCGGCGTCGAGCAGCAGCCCGCCGTACGCCGGCGCGAGCCCGCCGGCCCCAGCGCTCGCTGTCACCAGACGCCGCGCCATGCCTGAGCAGGAAACGGCGGTACGGCGGGCCGCGAATGGGACCGCCGGGGCCTGCCGGAGGAGCGTCGCCGCGGCGGGCGGCATCTCCAAGAGGCGTTCGCCGGCGAGTCCGCGGGAGACACGAGGTTGGAGGCGAGAGGCGCGAATCTCAAAGCACAGGCGGGGTGCGCGGAGGCGTAGGGGTATTTTGGTCAGGTCGATGCAGAAAACACTCTAGCGAAGCGAGGGGGGGAACAGAGAGAATCGCAGGACCAAACCCTAAACCCCCCGCTCCCGCCTCCTTTCGCTGCAGCAGCTTGCCGGGAGCTCGTGCGGCCTTTGCCTCTTGCTGCTTTCGCTGGCCGCCTGATCCCGCTTGCTCTTCGCCGGCTGGGCTCCCGAGCCAGCACTTGCCGGGTGCCGCCGCCTGCCAGGAGGAGCGGCACAGCCGTCTACAGGATTGAAGGTTATTTGTTCGCGGACCTTGAAATCTCTGATTGCCTGTTCACGCTATCTGTAGTAGAAGGCGTGTTCTAATGCAGCCCAAGTAGTTCGTTGTTGTGTTCGCACTGGTGAAAATCTACTGAACTAGCTTTGTGTGATTTGTTAGGGAGGGAAGGTTTGTGGTAGGCAACGTGTAACGTTTATTTCAAATTCCTGGAGGAAGACTTCTGGCGGAACTGTACTGACTTCAGGTGAATCAATCGGCTTCTGCTTCTTATGTATGCCTGTTTAAGAGTCCAATGTGGTTTTGCTGGAAGTTTCAGTTTTGTTTGTTCATTGTTATCCTTCAGATTTAAGTCAAGGAGCTAATTTGGGGGAAGAATGTCTGCAAAGTGGCGGTCACTGCAGCATCGGCACCGGTACACCTACACCTCGATTGTGTTCCCGAAACACTACCATGATGCCCTAGCTGTCGTACCGGCTGAGGTCTCCTCGTCCAATTTCTTTGTCCGATTGAACAACTTGATTTCCCTGACCTCCACTTACTTGCAAGTTGTTGCGGTCAAGGACCTTGCCTCGGCATACGTGCAGTTTTTGTCCACTACAGGGATTCCTGATGATGCAGTGCTCGCTGCCACAAAGCTTTATTTGGAGATCCTCTTCCTTGAGAATTCCCTCCCTCTCCACCGGACGCTCATATCAGTGCTCGCCAAGTGCAAGAAATTCTCCACAGTGATCAGTGGGTGTTTTGCCTTGCTCTGTGAGGAGTATGGTGGCTCTGGAAGTAAGGCAAAGAAGAGATTTATGGTATCTCGGGCAGCCTTGTCGCTTATTGGGTACCCAAAGTTGGGATTTTTGGATGAGGCAGTAGAGAGGTGTGCAGAGATCATGGCACTGGATGTTGTTGATGGGCTTGATGGAGTGACTAAAGACATTGGTGAAGGGTCACGGCCATCTCCAGTTGTGATGGAGCAGTGCCAGGAGGCCATGTCTTGCATGTACTACTTGCTGCAGCGGTACCCGTCTAAGTTCACTGTCCTTGACAAGGCGTCAAGTGTCTTCAAGAGTGCTGTCAGGACAATACTATCTGTTCTTAAGTCATCTGCCTTTTCAAGGGATTGTCTGGTGGCCTCTGGAGTGAGCTTCTGTGCTGCAATTCAGGTTTTCATGAGCACAGAGGAGATTTCCTGGTTTATTTCTCAAGGTCTATTTGGCATCTGTGCAAATCATGAAGATAGAAAAAATCAATCTGTGCTCAATGTATTTCCGGACTTTGATCTGTGTGAACAAATCAGAGATCTTTCAGTTTTGAGTAGACTTTGTTTGCTAAGAGGGATTTTGACATCTATTCCAAGGACAGTACTCAACATGCGCCAACTTCATTCCGGTGGACCTTTATGGACTATTTTGTATGATGGAATTTTACCTGAGCTTTGCAAGCATTGTGAGAACCCAGTTGATAGCCACTTCAATTTCCATGCTCTTACAGTGACACAAATATGTTTGCAGCAGATAAAGACATCGATTTCATCTGATTTCACTGACTTCTCTGGGGACTATAAGCCTTTTTCAAAAGATGTTGTCAACCGTATATTGGGAATCATATGGCGCAACCTGGAAGATCCTTTGAGTCAGACAGTAAAACAGGTGCATTTGATCTTTGATCTCCTATTAGATATTGAATTGTGTATTGCATCAGAAGACCATGAACATAACAACAAATTGTTCCTTTGCAATATTGCAAATGATTTACTTCGCCTAGGTCCATGATGCAAAGGGAGATACATCCCTTTAGCTTCTTTGACAAAGCGATTGGGTGCCAAATCTCTTCTAATATTGAAATCAAATCTGCTTTCGGAAACAGCTTATGCGTACATAGATGATGATATTTGTTGTGCTGCCACAACATTTTTAAAATCTTTCCTGGAGACTTTAAGAGGTGAATGTTGGAATGATGATGGTGTTGAGCTAGGATATGATGCCTTCAGAGCTTTGTGCTTGCCTCCTTTCATGTGGGGACTTGTATCTGGAAATTCAAAACTACGTTCTAACTTAAATACTTATGCTTTGCCTTCTCTAATTGAAGTTGATGCAGAGAGCATATTCACAATGCTTGGATTCATCTCCATTGGCCCTAGTACAAAGGAAACTAAACTAGATGTTGTTTTGAAAAATGACCAGTGTATAGCTGCACTGGTTTCTCTGCTTAAGGTCTCACGAAATCTGGCTCTTGTTGAAGGGGACATTGATTTGGATCCTGATGAATTGTCACAGCCTGAGCAGATGGATAGTAAGGGTGCTGCAGTTATATCTGTTAAAGGGATTAAGGTTACAGTTCCTGTTAATTGGTTTGCTTTGGCACTGACACACAGTGATGAAAGTCTCCGTTTAGATGCAGCTGAATCCCTCTTTCTAAATCCAAAGACATCAAGTCTTCCATCCTCCTTGGAACTGAGCCTGCTCAAAGAGGCTGTTCCATTGAATATGCGTTGTAGCTCAACGGCATTTCAAATGAAATGGACAAGTTTATTTCGGAAGTTTTTTGCTAGGGTGCGAACTGCACTTGACAGACAGGTAAAGCAGGGGTCATGGATTCCATCATTAACGTCTAGTGTTAAAGGAGCTGACTCTATTGATACTTCTGAAGCAACAGTTGTCAAGAGGGCTGAAGATCTCTTCCAATTCATGAAGTGGCTGAGTTCCTTTCTGTTTAATTCTTGTTACCCCTCTGGCCCTTATGAAAGGAAAACAATTGCAATGGAGCTTATTCTTACACTACTAGATGTATGGCCTATTTGCCGCTCTGAAGGGAAAATTGATCTTTATCCTTACAATGACAGCATAATATTGCCAGATTCAACAATTTCATTTGTAGGGTCTATAATTGATAGTTGGGACAGAGTAAGGAAAACTCTTTTTTCGCATTCTACTGCAGTTCCCAACACCTCTTCCTGGGATTTCCTTGAGTACATCCATAAATGATGTTATCAGATGGGCAAAAAAACTTGTTCTAAGCCCACGAGTCCGGGAAAGTGATGCTGGTGCTTTAACCTTCCGCCTTATATTTAGGAAGTATGTTTTGGAGCTCGGATGTATTCTTGTATTTTCTAAAGGAAGTGATTGCCTTGAATGTTACACACAATCTATGAATGGAGATACAGAAGTTGTTACTAGTCAAAACCCAGTTGCACAGTATATATCTTCACTCATTCAATGGCTCTGTATTGTTGTCGAAGAGGTTGAGAGGGATCTCTCTGAAGCATGTAAGAAGAGCTTTGTTCATGGAGTTCTTCTTACTCTGCGCTACACATTTGATGAGATGGATTGGAACTCTGAGGTAGTACAATCATGTATTTCTGAAATGAGGTGCCTGGTAGAAAAGCTGCTTCAACTCATAATGCGTGTAACTTCAGTGGCCCTGTGGGTGGTTTCTTCAGACGCATTGTGTCTGCCATATGACATGGATGACGTGATTGATGATGGTTCCTTCCTCTCAGATATATATGAGGAGGATCAACCTACTACCGCTTCAGAAAGAGAGGAGAAGAACGCAAAACCAGGGAGTAATGGCAAACCAGCCGAACAAGTTGTTATGGTTGGTTGCTGGCTTGCTATGAAGGAGGTAATGAGTTGATTCTTACCACTTATTAGACCCTCTTTGGAATGCGGGAATTTTTCCCGTTTCTTGCGTTTTTCCTGTGAAAATGAACTAATTCCTGGGAAACTGCGTCCCAAAGGGGCCCTTAACCTTCTTTTTTTGTTGGTAAAAACTATGTTTCAGCAGATTTATCCTTATTTTTCCATGATAAGCTGAATAACTTCACAAATGCCATGACCTGTGGTATGCTACCATCATACTATGATCATACTATATGCATGATGCCCTCCCCTATGTTTGACTCATCCTAGATGGGTTGACAAATGTCGATTCCAGTCAAAAAAGGGGAAAAAAAAAGCTTTTTCACGCCATCCGTCCCATCACACCAATCTACTCCAAGATAAAGAATGCTTCCAGGAACAAACCCTTTGATTCAAGGTCTTGCGTAGAATTGCCTTAAGAAAAATGCATCCCATTAATTGATCCTCTTTAGGGTAGTATAAGTACATCCTCGAGTATAGCACGAAGCCGTTCACTATACTAACCTTCCACTGATAAGCTGTTTAGTTTATTTCAGTTTCACACTATTGTGGCATTGCAGGTATGCTTAAATGTCTCTTTAAGTTTTTATGATGTAACTTCTCCATTTTACTTTTCAGGTCAGCTTACTTTTTGGAACCATCATCAGGAAGATACCATTGCCTGGCTGTTCTCATTCATCTTCATCTCAGAATGGCTTGCCTGACAGTACTGAGGAGACAAGCATGTCTGAAAAAATTCTTGATGTGGGGCAGTTAAAGATGATGGGTGACCATTTTTTACAGGTTCTTCTTAAAATGAAGCATAACGGTGCAATAGATAAAACAAGGGCTGGGTTCACTGCCCTTTGCAACCGTCTTCTTTGCTCAAATGATTCAAGGTATGTTCAATTCTTACAGAGGCCAGTTCCTGAACCTCTTCACCCAAAGATGGGAATTCATATGCATAAAACCTTATGTTACAGTTTCTATTTAGATTCAGAATGTTTACATAAATGAAATTTAAGCCCTGAGTTTGTGAGGCATCGCAAAACAACACTCTACAAATTTTTCATCTGTTCCATATATATAAACATATTGAATCCACTGCTGGTGCATATGCATTAACTCTGCACACCAATAACTTTGCTATATTCTGAAGGTTGAAATTCATAACTGTCAAAGTAAAACAGTCATGTTTGAATTGGTTTGCATCCCAATTTTTGCATGTGAGTACATATTTGTATGCACTATGGATATACCAAATTTCAAAATTTTCTGAATGACCAAAATGTGTTTTTGAATTGGTTTCCATGTTTCCACCTATGTGGTTTCCACCACATATTTTGCCATCTGAAACAGTCTACAATTGCATACCATGTGTAAATATAAACTTTTGATAACTTTCTGTGAGGAACTGAGCCTAGCTCAGTTGGTGGGAGGTGTGGGTGTACAGCCCCCACAACTCAGGTTTGAGTCCTAATCAACACAAATCTGGGTGCCTATTTCGTATTTACAATGTCACCTAGGTTGGTCAAGCTATTTTTGTACACATTTATGAGGATCTTTCTTTGTTGTTTACAGGCTGTGCAAAATGACAGAATCATGGATGGTGCTACTGATGGATAGGACAATTGCTAAAGGGCAAACTGTGGATGATTTGATAAGGAGAAGTGCAGGAATTCCAGCTGCATTTATCGCCCTGTTCCTGGCAGAGCCAGAAGGAACACCAAAGAAACTACTTCCAAGGGCATTAGAATGGCTGATAGAGTTTGCTAAGAACTCTTTAGCTAATTTCCAGAAAGACTCCAACCAGAGGTCTGGAGTAATGAAAGATGATCTTGGAGAGCTATTGGAATCACAATCAGAAACTACAATAAGTGTACATTCTAATGGTAACCTATCTAAAAGCCGAGATGAGGGTGTTGTTCCCACTGTGCATGTGTTCAATGTGCTTAGAGCTGCCTTCAATGATGCAAATCTGGCAACTGACACTTCGGGTTTCAGTGCTGATGCAACAATAGTTGCTATACGTGCATTTTCATCTCCCTATTGGGAAGTACGCAATGCAGCTTGCCTTGCGTATACTGCACTAGTTCGTCGCATGGTTGGGTTTCTGAATGTGCAGAAGCGTGAATCAGCTCGACGATCTTTAACTGGCCTTGAATTCTTCCACAGGCAAGTTCATAACGTTTATACATAGTTTGCAATATGATAGTTGTGGTCACGTGAAGTTATACTGCATCACTCCTCTTTGTGAAAGACAGAAACTTAATGTGTTGCAAATATAAAGTTTGTAACCTTTTTTTTTTCTGGTTGAGCAGTTCAGTATCTTTTACATGATACATGCAACAACAACAACAACAACAAAGCCTTTAAGTCCCAAACAAGTTGGGGTAGGCTAGAGTTGAAACCCAACAGAAACAATCAAGGTTCAGGCACGTGAATAGCTGTCTTCCAAGCATTCCTATCTAAGGCTAAGTCTTTGGGTATATTCCATCCTTTCAAGTCTCCTTTTATTGCCTCTACCCAAGTCAACTTCGGTCTTCCTCTGCCTCTCTTCATGTTACTATCCTGACTTAGGATTCCACTACGCACCGGTGCATCTAAAGGTCTCCGTTGCACATGTCCAAACCATCTCAACCGGTGTTGGACAAGCTTTTGTTCAATTGGCGCTACCCCTAATCTCTCACGTATATCATCGTTCCGAACTCGATCCCTTCTTGTATGCCCGCAAATCCAACCAGCGCAACATACGCATTTCCGCGACACTTAGTATTGAATATGTCGTCTTTTGTAGGCCAACATTACGCACCATACAACATAGCGGGTCTAATCGCCGTCCTATAAAACTTGCCTTTTAGCTTCATGGTACCCTTTTGTCACATAGGACACCAGGGCGCTTGCCGCCACTTCATCCACCACGCTTTGATTCTATGGCTAACATCTTCATCAATATCTCCATCCCTCAGTAGCATTGATCCTAAATATCGAAAGGTATCCATCCTAGGCACTACTTGATCTTCCAAACTAACATCTTCCTCCTCCCGAGTAGTAGTGCGAAGTCACATCTCATATACTCGCTTTTAGTTCTACTAAGTCTAAAACATTTGGACTCCAAAGTCTCCCATACATAACTCCAGCTACGATTCACTCCCGTCCGGCTTTCATCAACTAGCACTACATCGTCATGAAAAGCATACACCAAGGGATGTCCCCTTGTATGTCCCTTGTGACCTCATCCATCACTAAAGCAAACAAATAAGGGCTCAAAAGTGACCCTTGATGTAGTCCTATCCTAATCGGGAAGTCATCCGTGTCTCCATCACTTGTTCAACTCTAGTCACAACATTGTTGTACATGTCCTTAATGAGCCCGGACGTGCCGTTGGGACTTTATGTTTGTCCAAAGCCCACCACATAACATTCCTTGGTATTTTATCATAAGCCTTCTCTAAGTCAATAAAAACCATGTGTAGGTCCTTCTTTTTCTCCCTATACCGCTCCATAACTTGTCTTATTAAGAAAATGGCTTCCATGGTTGACCTTCCGGCATGAAACCAAATTGGTTCATAGAGACCCAGCGTTATTGCTCTCAAGCGATGCTCGATAACTCTCTCCCATAGCTTCATAGTATGGCAAATCAACTTAATTCCCCGGTAATTTGTACAACTTTGAATATCCCCTTTATTCTTGTAGATCGGTACCAATATACTTCTCCTCCACTCATCGGGCATCTTGTTTGATCGAAAAATATGGTTGAACAACTTGGTCAACCATACTACAACTATATCCCCAGAGGCATCTCCACACCTCGATTGGGATACCATCCGGTCCCATCGCCTTACCTCCTTTCATCCTTTTCAACGCCTCTCGACCTCGATTCTTGGATTCTCCGCTTTAAAGCGCCTATTGGTGTCATCAAAAGAGTCATCCAACTGAAAGGTTGTGTCCATATTCTCACCATTGAACAATTTGTCAAAATACTCTTGCCATCGATGTCGGATCTCATCCTCCTTTACCAAGAGATGCTCCCTTTCATCCTTAATGCACTTAACTTGGTTGAAGTCCCGTGTCTTTCTCTCACGAACCCTAGCCATCCTATAAATGTCCTTCTCTCCTTCCTTCGTACTCAAATGTTGATAAAGATCCTCGTACGCTCTACCCTTTGCTATACTTACAACTCGCTTTGCAGTCTTCTTTGCCACCTTGTACTTCTCTATGTTGTCCACACTCCTGTCATGGTACAAGCGTCTATAGCATTCTTTCTTCTCCTTAATAGCCCTTTGGACTTCCTCGTTCCACCACCAAGTGTCTTTAGCCTCGCGTCCCCTTCCTTTGGTTACTCCACACCTCTGAGGCTACCTTCCGAATGTTGGTTGCCATCTTGTCCCACATATTGTTTATGTCGTCTTCTTCCTTCCAAGAGCCCTCTTTGATAACCCTTTCCTAAATACCTCGGCGTCTCCCCTTTTCGGTTTCCACCACTTTGTTCTTTCAATCTTAGCTTGTTTATCCCTCACGACACACTTTTGAAAACAAAAACACCGCCACCAAAAGCTTATGTTGAGAAACAACACACTCCCCAGTATCACCTTGCAATCCAAGCATGCTCGTTTGTCCTTTCTTCTTGCGAGGACAAAGTCAATCACAGCTCTGATGTTGTCCGCTCTCAAGGTCACTAGATGAGATTCTCTCTTTCTAAAGAAAGTGTTGGCTATCATCGGTCAAAAGCTACCGCCAAGTCCGAACTTCCTCCCCTCCTCGATTCCTACTACCATACCCAAAACCTCCATGAACTACCTCGAAACACAAGGCATGTAGTACCTACATGCCCATTAAGATCTCCTCCTATAAAAAGCTTCTCATTACTAGGTATAGCTCTAACTTGTGGCCATCTAAGTCTTCCCAGAACTGTCTCTTAGCACTCTCGTCGAGACCTACTTGGGGGGCATACGCACTAATTACATTCAAGACCATATCACCAACGACAAGCTTGACTAAGATAATCCTATCTCCTTGTCTTCTCACTCCCATCACACCATTCTTGAGGCTCTTATCAATCAAAACTCCTACTCCATTTCTATTCATGTTGTCCTGTGTACCAAAGCTTGAAACCTGTATTGTCCACCTCCTTTCGCCTTGACCCTTCCATTTAGTCTCTTGAACGCATAATATATTTACACGCCTCCTAGTCATGGTATCAACTAATTCTCTTAACTTACATAAGTGACCCTACATTCCAACTACCTAAACGGATCCTAGTTGGTTCGACTAGCTTCCTTACCCTTCGCACCCGTCGACTCGATCTAAGACCTTTGCTCATTTTTCACTACACCGGCGCGCGATGTAGCGGCGCCACTAAAGAAGCGACGACCCGATCCTTGGTTACTTGACACCATGCCCAGATCACGACACGACGGCGCGTCACGGGGTGACGACCGGCCTGCCCATTTATTTAACACCATACCCGGTTCCGATATGGCGGCGTCGCTAAGAGGTTACGCCCAACGATTTTCTTTCGGGTTTCATCTCCATTTAAGTGGCTAAGTTTTTTACATTGGCTCGCCACGCCTAACACAACCCTCCTCCTTTACCAGGGCTTGGGACCTGCTATGCTGGGACACCAAAGGCGCCCCACCATAGGCGGAGTTTTTTACATGATACATGAACATGAGTAAATTGATCAGAAAAGAATTTAGCATCGTTGCTGTTTTGAGGTCAGATAGTTGTTTTTTTCTCTCTTTGATACAAAGATGCACAGCTCTCCTGTGTGTTTGAAAAAAAGAACTTTCTATTATTGCATGTGTTTGTGGTGAACATGAATATCCTAAGTGCTCAATCTAATTTGTACGTAAGTAGATGAGGTCAGCTTTTCAATTGAGATTTATTCCTTGTTTTCTTATGTAGGTACCCAGCCCTTCATCCTTTCCTTTCTAGTGAACTGCGAACCGCAACTGAACAGCTAGCTGATGGAGTGTCCAGCAATTTGGAGTCACACATTACAAAAGCAATACACCCTAGCCTGTGTCCGATTCTTATTCTTTTATCAAGACTTAAGCCTTCACCTATAAGCTGTGGAACTGATGATTCTTTAGACCCTTTTTTGCTTTTGCATTTCGTCCAAAAATGTGCTACCCAGAGTAACTACCGGGTCCGTATCCTTGCGTCAAGGGCATTAACTGGTTTGGTATCTAACGAGAGACTGCAGTACGTTGTTAGTGATATACTGGATAATTTACCTCATGGAAATCACAAAGCAATGGCTCACAGTGTTCAGCGTACTGATTCTGCCGTATCAGCTAATATAGGAAATGGAAATGTACTTCTGCTTTCTAAGTCATTCAATTCAATCCATGGCCTTTTGCTGCAGCTGGCTTCTCTTATGGATAACAACTTTAGAGGTTTGACAGACGGTAGCATGAAGGATCAGATTCTTGGCCTACTACTGGAGGTTCTCTCAAGATGTTCTTGGCTTGGCTGTACGAAATTATGCTCATGCCCTGTCGTAATTACATCTTACTTGCGGGTATTGGATCTCATGCTTGATGTTGCAAGGACAGGGAAAAGCAGACATACTGAAGTCATTCAGGCATTGCTGCTAGAGTTAAGTTCCCAGTGCTTGAGCAACACAGTATCAACCCAGTACGCATTCCATGATCCAACCCGTATTGAACTAAAACAGCAAGCAACTGAATCATTTTTGAGCTGTGTTGGTCTTTCTAAGAAAAACGATGAGACTAATGATGAAGATGTGCAGTTGCAAATACTTGGTGAACCAACTTCAGAGATGCCTAGAGAGGACTACTCCCTTCATAAAGTACACAAGGAGATTATGTCATGTCTCACTGATCCTTCATATGATGTTAGAATTACAGTGCTGAAGAGGATACTTTGGCTCACAAAATCAATCAGACATGGTGATGTAGAAAACATTTTGCACCAGTGGGCAGTAGTTAATCTGCAGCCTGCTTTAATGGAACGGTTATTTGTGGAAGAACACCCTAAGTGCCTTTATTATAATCTGAAGATCATCTTTTCATGGAACATGAAATTCCCATTTAACAATGGAGAAGATTCTAGCACACTTTTGTCCTTGTGGGACAGGTTAGTTCATTTAAACAGCACCATGTCACATGCAAAAACCAGAGAAATAGTTCTATGTTGCATGGGTATGTGCATGAAACTGTTCACTAAACTATCTGGGGGTGGTGTTTCAATGAATTGTCTTAAGACCAGTGAGATCTCTGCATCCTATGTCCGAATCAATGAAGGGAATAGATTATCTGATGCCATGCTTAGAGTAAACTTGTTTGTCACTCTTGTCAAGAACCAAAGTGAACCATCGGAAAGTGTGAATGCTCGGCGGGCTGCTGCTGAGGCAATTGTTGCTTCTGGTCTTCTTGAAGAAGCAAACTACGTTGCTTCATCTGTGTCCAACATGTCCTCTCCTTCAGAATTTGATGAAGGCCGTATCAAAGAGAAATGCATGGAAGCTAACGTTTTTGCATTTATCAGTCTTTATACATGCAAGATACTTGACTTATGGTTTGTATGTATTCAGTTGCTGGAGGATGAGGATGCCTATCTGAGACAAAAACTTGCAAAGGATATTCAGAAAATAATCGCTAAGGGTTCAGCTAATACCTTCTGTGATGATTCCACACCACTACAAGTTGATAGAGTCATTGAATTAAGCTTGGACTATTTAACTTCTTTATTTGGCCACTGGCAGAAATACATTGAATTCTTGTTAAGGATAGTCTTGGACACTGGAAACACTCTGAACTCCTGTGGCGATTTGGTCCGTCAGATATTTGATAAAGAAATAGATAACCACCATGAGGAGAAGCTATTGATATGTCAAATCTGCTGTTCGAATATTCAGAAACTTTTGCATTCAAAATGTCAGATGGAAGCAGGAGCAAAAACTAAACTGTTCCTGCAGAATTGGAGGGAGACCTTTTTAAACCAGCTCACATCACTGACTGGTGGCTATCTTGAGAAAGAGGGGAAGAACAATTGGATTGGCGGCATAGGTAACCACAAGGACGTGTTCATATCAGTGTATGCAGTTCTGCTAGGCTTATATGCGCTCACGCAATCTGGTTCTCTGGAACAATTAGAGGACAACTGTGCAATTTATTTGCAAGAATTTTCAAACCTTGAAGGGTTTATCACACCATTCCTCAAGAATCCTTTGATTTCTAATCTTTACGCTCTGGTAAAATTATCACATGAGAGGTTCAGATCATCAGATAAGCCAGAGGACCAAGTGGGTAGTTCAGGATCAAGTTTTGACCCATATTTTCTTATCAGATGATTTTTGCTAATGTAATAGTAATTCTTCATTGTTATTCCTCTGTTGTGAGACTCGATAATAATTGCTTTTTATACAAATTGCCATTCTACAGATTCTTTTCTTGATGCGCCTTGTTTCTGTGTACCATTACATTTTACATGTTTTGAATTTTATTGCCACTCTGAAATGCCATTTGCTTCAGTTCAGGAGATTGTAGTTGATGTGGAAATGGAGGCCAATGTTTGTCTGCTAAAGAGAGAAACCAAGAAACATGCCCTTTTTTCTTTAATACAAGAAATTGTTTGTTACAAATATTGATAATGCCCTTATATATGTTACAATTGGCACGTCTCTCCTTTGTAAAAAAATTGGCTACGGTGTGCTACTCCTTTTGAGATACAATTCCAACTGCACAGCTGGGGGGTGGAATGTAGCACAGCTTGTACAAAGGAGATGCTTTCTGCAGAGGACACATGAGCTTCCTGCAGAGGACCTTGTGATGTCGCACACATGAGCTTCCTGCAGAGGACCTTGCGAGGGTGCAGCAAACCATTTTCTAGAATTTGGGCCTGCTGTTCTGAATTTGCCTGCCCACACCCATCGGTTTGTTGATGGTTGAATTGGGTCTGTGAAGCCTGCTCGCACCCACACGGTGATGGTTGAATTGGGTCTATGAATCGGTTTGGTGACGGTGATGATTGAATTGGGTCTATGAATCGGTTTGGTGATGGTTTGGTGACGCTGTCCATTAAAAGAGGTCGTCCTTATCGGCTGAGATGACCTGCACAGCATGAGAGGTTGAAATTATATTTTTTCATGATTGAAAGTGCATTTTTGTGAAACCATTCATGTCGGTGTGGACTGATGGGATAGTAATGGGGCAAACCTCGCAAAAGTGTTCCTTTGGATAGCAGATTGCAATCTTGCTCGACTGCAACACAGAATTAGACTGTGTCAGAAATAGCAACTTCTATTTATGATCATAATACCAAGAGTAACCATTACTTGTCAGCCTCCATCCTAGCCTTTTTCAGCATAGGGCTCTTGTAGCTGCAATTGGATAGACTGCTAGGTCCACTTCCTGCAAGAATATAGGCTAGATTAGTACGGGAAATAACTGAGTGGACAGAAAGTTCAGCAGAAGCAGAAGCAGAAACAGGAAATCACCTCCAAAGAAACTTCTTTTGCTGCTTGGAGGCACCTTTGTACAAAGTTTAATTTGTTTGCTTTTTTCTCTGCATAGGATTTAGAGGAAGAGAGTATTAGTGACATTCTGTTGTACTGACAGTAGGCTAAAAACTCTCAAAAGTCAAGGCCGCCGTATGTAATGTGTATTCTCCCAATGAAACTGGGCTGAGTCGGTCAAAGTACAACTAATTTAACTCCACAATAAAGCTAAGACTTACAAGCTTTCTCTGCCTGAAACTTCTTTGTGAATTTCTCAACCATCTCATCTTCAGCTTGCTTCTGTTTCTTTTTTCTCGCCTACAACAGGAACCAAGTTAGTACAGGGCGAAGATAATTTATTGCAAACAAACATAAAACCCCCAGCAACCAATTATGGAAGCATATCAGAAGTACTGGCAAATGAATGAAGAAAGGAACAGAATTTTACCGCGAAGAGCTCCCACCATGTGTATTTCGCATCTGGCCTAGTCTCCTTCAGTGCCTTGAGTCTTGCGATAACTTTGTTCGTATGCTCCTGACCGAATTCTTGATAATAGAATCGTTTCCACAGCGGATCAGTTACCGAGCTAAGATCCATCTGTTCCCACAAGGGCAGCCACACAGATACGCATGCATTGCAGTCACAACGATCCAATCTCCAAGGAAGAATTTGAGAACAATGCAGGGCTAGTAGCAAGAGAAGCAGAAGCTATGGAAATTGGCTTACCTTGGTGTTCTTCTCGATGTTGGTGAGGTGCTCCAGCGTGCAGTGCGGCAGGATGCGCTTCAGCAGATCCATCTCCACGCCGTCCACGCTTTACATGTAGCGGAGGTTGTCGATGGCCTTCCGGACGCACAGCCCCAGAAGGGTCAAGGGCTTCTTCCTCCCGAACTCCATCCTTTCCTTTCCCTCGCAATCGGCCGAAGGCGAATGTCTTAATCCGCCGAACCAGGGCCAGGGGTAGACGTACGAATTGGATTAGTAGCAACCCACCGTGAAGCAATAGAATCCAACACGATCTGATGGAGAGGACAGAGAAAGGTTTCGATTTGATTCCTCGCTCGCGGCAGGTGGGAAAGATCAAGAGATTCTATATCCTATGGAACGGAATTCGTTGAGCAAAAGAAAAAAAAATGGTAATCCACATCCGCCGAAGTGAAGCTGGGCATCTTACCGAGGAGAGAGGTCCGAGTCCGAGCTTGGCTGGATGGGCGTCCTCCTCTCCGCTCCGATCAGAGTCCGACCAGATTGGGGAGAGAGAGGAGGACGGCGACACAGGGGTGAAAACGGTACGGATATTTTCTGTATTCGAGACCGAATCCGTTTAGAGGGGTTCAAATCTGTCCATATCTGAATTTGGATATTCAACATCTAATACCGTATTCGTATTTGAATACTCAAATCGCATATTTACGTTGTCGATACCCAATCATATTCTATCCGGCATGGCTGACACTATCCGTATTCGGATCCAAATCCAAACAGAAATATGAAAACAAATGTAATATCAGTGATAACCGTCCGTATCCGATCCGTTTTCATCCCTGGGCGACAGGGAGAAGGAACTAGAAGAAGAAGCTGTTCTGTTCGTCGATGAGGTTGGCTGGCATGACGTCAGATGCGGGTCTGGCGGACCATGGGCCGGTGTGACCCGAGGCAGATTGGCCGGCCCATGAACTGGGATTTTGCGGGCCGGATTAATCTCGCAAATCAGGCCACTTGACACATGACACCGTCCACGGGGAGTGGATCTGTTGGGATTCATGAGTCTCAAAAAAAAATCTGTTTGTATTCATTTATAGGATTTTTTTAGTTAATCCTGCGTTTCTCGTACGAAAATGAATGGACTTTTACAAAATATATCTGCATTTTTTATAAAATTCGAAATTGGCACATGTTAATAGTCCTCCACAAGCTAATCTCCTTTCTTAATAACAGAAATGCTAATAGTATCTTCAGCCTGTTCGGTTGGCTGGTTCGTATCGTTGCCGGTTCGTTTATGTGAGAGAGAAGTACTGCTGGCTGGTTCAGATGAACAGTATTTTTGTGATGGGACTGGCCAGCCCAGCCCCAGCCAGCCAGCCCAACGAACACGACGCTTATCACTAGCAAAAGTGCTCTTGTGTTGCTAGGATGAAACTACTATCGTGAGGATGATTTTTACCCTCACGAGGCACCTACAAGTAATATTTAAGTAACATTAATATTAAATGTTGCAATTTAAGGGAGTTGGGATGTCAATGGGGCGGATTCTGGTTTCGGCTCCAAACCTGAAACCCGAACTCAAAACTCAAAACCGCCCTGAATGTCGATTTGGATGACACTCCAGCCCCACCCGGTGGATCCCCGAAATCCGATTGGTTCCCCGAAACCAACCACTACGTGATAATACAATAAAAGCAACAAGAAATTTCTAACAACAAATGCATGATATGTATAACATATTTACATGTATAACAAGAGGTAAGAAAACATTCAATTCCATGACTCAAGTTAGAACAAGCAGAATAGCTTATAAAAACAGTTTATTAATAAAAGACATGAGTTTTTATTCAAAAGGATCTATTTCGGGCCTCTATTGGGCATCCGTGGGTAGACACCAAAACCCGAAACCCAACGGTCTCCGAACATAAAAACCATGGGGAAAATCGCACCCGTACCCACCGGACCCAGAAAAAAGGCCCTGACCCGAAACTGCTCCACTGTCATCCCTACACTAAATAGAAGACATTTTTATTGAACTATGCAACAAACATTAAAAAAGTTGTTCCTTTTCAGACATGTAGAGAAAGAACTTAATTTTTAAAACCAAGTGTCTATGGAATGCAAAACAAAAAACTAGAAGTGTTATTTCAGAATTCATGGGACCAGAATTTTACTCTGTATATCGTGCTTATTATATAGAAAGAAAAAAAAACAAAGGAGAGAAAAAATAGAGCCGCAAGACCACCACGCGCTCTCTGCCCTGTTTCTCCACCCACCCCATCCCTCCTCATGCGTCTCTCTCCACTGTCTCACCACGCTCTCTTGCTCTCTGCATCGCTTCTCGCTACCAGTTCAATTGCACGCACCACCAGCTATGAGCCATGGCCAGGCCAGGAATGAACACAGAAATAGATCCCTCTCTTCTTCTCTGTTAACTTTATGGAGCTACGGCGGGAAAAAACAAAATATATATAGGCCACAGTAAAATTATGCTCTAGCTAATTCGAGCTAGGGGGTTGCAATTCTGCAATTTTTTTGAAGGAAACATGTCAGTTAGAATCAATGCTAAAAACAAAAAAAGAACAAAAATATTTCCATTGCCGGGATTTGAACCCGGGTCGCTTGGGTATCCTAACCGGACTAGACGACAATGGATCTGTGCGTTATTCTAATAACGTACATATCTGACATGGTAGATCTTGTGTAACGGCAGCTCCAGTCCTGCCTCGGACGAAACAGCACTTCTTGTCAATATATAAGAAAAACAAACGCCATATATTTAGATTTGGACTCGGGCTCGCTAACTATAGCCTTGTGTGTACTACTTCTATTTTAAATTATATGATGTTTTTTATTAGTTTTTCTAGATAGGTAGGTTTTAATATACACTATGTCTAATGTCTTACAATTTAGAGCATAGAGCATTTATAGAGGCCACAACAATAACATATATACCAAAATAATAAAAAGGAAGGAAATCGTTGGCAAGGACCCTGTCGGTGCAGAAAGTGACCAACACGTAAATATTTGTAGTTTTGCCGTACGTTGTGATCGGAGGTGGCCTAGCACTCAATGACACAGGGTTTATACTGGTTTAGGCAACGTGCCCTACGTCCAGTTTGAGTCGGTCGGTGACTTTATTCCTGAGCCCAGATGCTCGAAGTTTGCACTGGGATTACAAACGAGAAGGAGAAAGTTTGCAGTGGGCCGTACAAGAGGTCCGGTCGGACTCCGGTCGGAAGGGCCGAGAGTGACGGGAGCTCCGCTATGAGCTAAGTGTTCAAGCGTGTGCTTGTACTTTGAAACTGGTGGTTCTGTTGTTGTGTGCTAATGAACTTGATCGATCTAATGAATCTGAAACAACTGAGTCTTTTGGGAGAGAGTGCATTCCCTTTTATAGATGAAGGGGATAGCTTTACAAGTGAGAGGGAGAGAGTACGTATGCTATTAAGCCTTGTTGCCCACGCGCAGCGAGTACAGGATGATGGTAGGCGCCCACAATACTGTTGAATGTCAGATGCACGTGGGAGGTTGTGTTGTCTTCTTCGGGCATGGCAGACGTCGGCGCCTGCCATACTGTTGATACCCGGAGGTTGCAAGGGGTTTTACCATGTTCGCTTGGTACGGTAAATGCCGGCACCCATAACACTGTCGATGCCCAGAGGCATGTGGGGGGAGCCTTACCGTATGGGAGCTAATGACGCGCCATAATACTGTAGGAGAAAATATCGGCGCCTATAACACTGTTTGGGTTCTTTCGTGCCAGGGAGGTCGCAGAGCACAGTTTCTGCAGGTATATAGGGTATGGTCCCTGGTATTGTGGTTTGACTTGTGCGCCCTGCCTTACTTTCTCCGTCCGTTTCCTGGTCCTTACCGAGCGGGCGTCTCCGGTCGGTTGGTTCCAGTCGGCTCTAATCGCGTCAGTCGGAGAAGAGCGGTGAGCAGGGGTTTGGCGCATCCCCGGTCGGAAACGCGGGTCGGAGTCGGAAGCGGTGTTTGGCCAGGCCTTCCGGACGGAGAGACCGTCCGGAGGCGGGTTGGAGACCGAAGCGAGCGCTCCGGTCGGAGAGGTGGGCCGGAGTCTGAAGCGGGCGCCGGCTCCTCGGCCAGGCCTTCCGGTCGGAGATTTGAATCGCCCTTCTAGCTTGTCGTTTAGGTACTTGGGCCGGCCCATGAGTTGCGCGTTGTTTGTTTGAACTGAGCCTTTGCTGGAAAGCTGGTCCGCGAGGGACCACAGGTTTATGAACCCGACAGACCCTTTGTTCTTTCATCTCGGTATCGCCCATCAACCACCCAAAATAGATTGCTAGGCCTAGACCATGCGTGATTCCCAGTCGTCCAACAAAGCAGCTTTGGATTAATGTAAGGTGCATGATCGAGGGCAAAGGACAATGCAAAGTTGCTTAGATAGACTTAAAGAGAGAGCATATATATCCTACATCATCAAGCATCTACTAATCTACAATACAATGAGAAAGTTTCTTAAAAATGCTTAATTACTTTGGAACCTCTCCCACAACGCTGAACAGACAGATGGAGCAGTAATCATTCAGCACTTTTGGGGCATCGACGCTTGTGGCCGGGTTCCAAGCTAGCACCCGACGAGTGCCGCTGCTTAGTAGGGATGAAAACGGATCGGATACGGACGAATATCACCGATATTATATTTGTTTTCATATTTCTGTCCGGATTCGGATTCGAATACGGATAGTGTCAACTATGTCGGATAGGATACGATTAGATATCGACATCATAAATATGTGATTTGAGTATTCGGATACGGATACGGTATCGGATGTTGGATATCCAGACTCGGATACGGACAGATCTCAACCCCTCTAAACGGATTCGGTTTCGAATACGGTCGGAAAATATCCGTACCGTTTTCATCCCTACTGCTTAGTCAAACGTCAAAACTCCGTATGTCCGCGAGCGCTCAGACAAGTTCCAACAAAATGGATTTTAACTCAAGCGGCTGCCACATAATAGCGTTTTTTTACACCTCTCATCTGGATCTGAATACAGTTGCAGCATCTGCATGTATACAAATACACACCAACACTACATACAGGCACAACTCACTCACACCACCT